ACCCTCAACCCTGAAACCTAAACCCGCCTGGGCCCATCGAATTGATCACTTTGCCATCGATGGACACCTCCAGGTCCCCCGCCTGCCATGGAAGATGGGGCTTTTGGAGGCTTCGCGTCGGAAGGGGAATTGAGGGATGGGTTTGGGGCTTGTTAAAATGCAGGGTTTAGTGTTTGGGGTTTAGNNGGGTTTAGGGTTTAGGGCTTAGTGGATGGAGTTGCGTGGCTTCTCGGTGGCTGCTTCAGTAGGTCAAGGCTCACACTGCTGCCCGGGGGGCCTCCGTAATGAAGAGGTGGTCCCCCTGCTCCCCCTGGCGAATGATGATATCCCCGGCCGCAAAAGCATAGAATTCCAGGCGGTCACACAAGGAGTTCACCACCTGCCTTGGTCCGGAAAGACTTCAGACTTCGGGCTTAGGAAATGCATACATATCATATAAGTGTCCATGTATTCCATACGTGTATGTGTGTGTATATATANNACACACACACATACACATACATACACATACATACACATACACATACACATACACATACACATACACATACACATACACATACACATACACATACACATACACATACGCATACGCATATACATATACATATACATATATACATACATACATACATATATATATATATATACATATACATATACATATACATTTACAAGTACATGCAGATACAGACACAGAGACCGAGACCGACACGTAGACAAAGACATAGACATGTAATCGGCCTGCCCTCCGGAGATGGCATCACTTTTCGCGCTGCCCGCAACAACAGGTTGTGTCGGAAGCAAAAGATGCCGCCCGCCGTCGTAGACCCTTAAAGAGCAGACGAGGCAGCTGAAAAGCTGCTTCTTCTTCTTCCACCTTTGCTGAGGCAGGGACAGGTGCACTGGGAAGCGCAGCTGCCGAGCAACTGCTGTCGCCGCACAAGGCGGCAGTCCGAAAGTCCTGTAAAAGTGTCGCCATGGGTTAGCAGCTAAAGCCAGAAGATTGTGAAAACTGCGTGCCGAGCAGGTCGTAAAGAGCAGCGCCCGTCTGGATGCGGCTCCGCCCCGTGGCTGAAACGTCCGTAAGGGCAGAAACCGCGGCCAGTTCTTGTAAGTAGTGCTCTAACGTCCCAAAATTTTTGAGGCGCATGAGCCACTGAAGATCAGTGGGCGACATGCCAGCGCGATAGCGCTGCACAGCGCCACCTCCCCTTAACCCGCCAGGGGTTAACGACAGCACTCGAGGCACATCAAGCCAGCGCAAAAGCAGATCCCACCTGTAGCGAAAAGAGCCTGGTGAGCCAGGCCACAAAGGCTCACTCTGAGGCAGTGACTGCAGTAAGTGAGTCAGCCAGGCTCGGGCGCTCGAGTCTGTGATCTTCGTGTGCTGCACCTTCGGCCGACCGCGCGCTGCGGTCTTTGAAACCCTGAAGTTAAGAAAAATCCCCCCGACGTCCTTGTCCAGCAAATCGGCAGGAAAAAGCAAGTCACTTCTCTTGCACCTGAGTACTTCGCCGACACGAGCCAGTCCGTAGAAGGAGAGAAGGGCTATGGCAGCCCATCGCTCCATGCCCCACGCGTTGGCCAGAAAGACCATAGCTTTAACCAGAGGCTCAGGCACAGGGCAACGGTGCACAGGAGGTTCCAAAGCTTCCCACCGAGAAACCATCTCCCAGGCCAGCTGCAGAAAAGGCTTGCAGCCCAACAACCGGCGCTGAGCAGCGATGATCGTGTGCCTGAACCCCGAAAGAGTTTTCCCCGCACCGTAGCAGAAGTTTCCGTAGGCGCGGAGGGCCATGGCAGCTAAGACTGGACAGAGAGAGAAGACGAGCAGACAGTCGGAGAGACAGGAGCACCACCGGACGAAGTCCTCCCAAAGCTTGGCCTCGTAGTACAGCGTTGCGGCACTCTGCACCGGCTTGAACTCCAGGTCTCCTTCTCGAGGACGACGAGCTCGTCGAGGGCCAGGATGGGAGGCCTCCCCAATGCGAAAATGCGAGCACCTTGCGCAACCAGGAATGTCCAAACTGCGCCGCGAGTCGCACCATCCAGCTTCCCGAGCGATTCCATGAGCCAGAGCTGTAGCGAACGCCTTGGGGTAGGGCTGAGCCACAGCTGTCCTCGCCACGCCAGAGTAGGGGCAGCGACCGCGTAGAAGAACATGCGGCACCAGGCATCGGCAAAAGAGTCGCCGGCCCGACAGTTCATTCGAGCAGGCAATCTTAGTCCGCTTGCGCCAAGGAGTCCCAAAGTAGCAGAAGTCCACCCGCCACGTCGACGTAGACGAAGGAGGCCGAAACCGCTTGAAGCCAGGCAGCCGCCACATCCAAGACGTATCCGGCTGTTCCAGCCACCAGCCAACCTTAGAGCGCTCACACAGCTCCAGCAACTTGAGGCACCACGCCGCGAGCTCATTCCCCTCCGCCGCCTTCTTTCTCATCTCACCCTTAAGCCAGGGAAGGCCCTTGGGGAAACGACAGCTTCGGACAGCAGGCGTCACAGCGCTTGAGAAGGAGCTGCACGGAGGAGCCATGCCAATCGCCCGAAAACATCCAGATGAAATCAAGGTCTCAATCCGAGCTTGCACAGCTGGGTCCAGGAGGTCTTGGTCAGGGCTCCACCTCAGGTCAAAAGAGAGGACCCAAGGAGCGCCAAGCTTCACCAGCGCACTGCCAACTCCTCCAGCGCCAGCGAAGAGGTCAAGGTAGCCCGGCTCGCCGAGGTCAGGGGCCAAGCCACCGAACTTAAACTGCCGAAGAGGGAAAGAGAAGCCGCCAAGCCTAAGGCAGCAAGAGCCTCCATCAACCTCGGGAGCCAGCGGGGTAGCTTCGACCCGAAAAACTTCGGCATGAAGGGGCTTGGGAGTCGCAGCGCCCAGGCCGCCGTCGCGGTCCAAATGTTCAAAGGAAAACCCGGGACGAGCTGCACCAACCTTAAGCATCCACGCATCGAAAGGCTCAGTCAAGCCATCAGCGAGTTGAGACCACCAGTCAGGAAGAGGCCCGAGAGGTAAAGGTGGGTCACGTCCTCGAGTAGGACCGTCGCTAGGGTTCAGCTCGCTGAGGAAATACATGAAGTGGGGGTACAGCCCACATCCGAGGTACGGGCCGAGAGATGCCTCCAACATGTCGTTCAAGGCACCTGACGATGATCTCCCTTTGATCAATGCTCCAAGCGAAACCTGAGAGTCAAGGCCCGTCAAAAGCCGAATGCGCTCGCCTGATCGAGCAGCATAGGATTCGTCCTGAAGGTAAGCTCGGACTTCTTTGCAGTTGATATGTTCGGGCCCATGATACTTCCTCCGCCATCGCTCAACATAAGGCAGCCGAGTGGCAAGGAGACTGGCCAACAGATTAGGCTCGAAGTGGCCTTCCCCCGGGAGCTCTTCAGAAGGCAAAAGCTGGTCATGTTCCCGAAGCCATGCATGCCCTGGGGGTAAAAGATGCGTCCAAGTGCCCTTGTAGAGGGAGTGACGGCAAAACTCAAGCACCATATTCCTCGGAACCTTGGCCCTTACACCCGCGCCTCCCCAAGTTGAAGCGTCAGTCGCAGAGATGAAGTCGGCGGGCTCGGCGCGGAGGTCGACGGCAATCACAGGACCTAAGCTTGCTAGCGCCAGCAGCTCGCTCTTAAGCTCCGGGGAAAGGCGGACGATGTCAGCAGGCTCCCCGCTGTCGGCAGCAGCGAAGAGGAGGCTCATCATGGCCAGGATCCTGCGCCTGAGTAGGGCCAGCGATGTCCAAGATCCGCAAAGGGCCTTCAAGAGCCCAACGGTTGTAACGCCCAGGAGAGCCACCCGAACCGACACGGCGATGACGGGCCACAGCCTGGTGCGCGAAGGCCGAACAATAGCCCGGTCGCCATCCAGCTCAATCCCCCAAAACTTTGAAGTGGCCTCGTTCTGAAAGCCCTTGGCCGGGTTCGTAAGCAACTTGGCCTGATCGTAAGCCGCATCGGCACGAGACATGCGCACATCGGCCTCAGTCTCAGCTGCGAGTCCTGAAGAAGAAGAAGAGGTAACCAGCCTTTCGAGAACAATGAGGTCGTCAATGATGACTCCAACCATGCACGGTCCCCGCGGCACTGGTGCAGCTAAAGACAACAGCTCAGACGAGGCAAAGACCTGCCCCTGGTACAACACACCGAGGTGACTGGCCTGGGCGTACTCGCAAGCGTTAAGGTCTCCCATGGCCAACGTTGACAACCCAACGTGGGCCTTGGAAGGAAGTCCCGGGATCTTGCCGAAGACGTACTCCAGCTCATCCTTTGACAGGGCTCCAGCTAAGCAATTCCGAGCCGTGCGCTCCCTCGACACTGCAAACTGGTAAAAGAAGTCGCGGAGGTCCCGGCCCGAA